TATGTACTTACAATCCAATGTAGGATAAAAAAAACTGCAAATGTCTTTTATTTATACATTTACATCCAAAACAGTACCAAAAAAGTGTCAAAATTAGGTCACAACTTTTTTTAAGATTCATTTTTGGCGTTTTATGTCTTTATTTCGATAGGACAGTATTCATACCTTCAGTCATGAGACCGGCTCGAAGACCTATGGGCAAAACAACCATAGAAGTGCAGCACAAGCCTGTCAGTTTTCCATCTGTTTCCAAGCCGCAAATATTTAGATCACCTCTCAAAAGAATAAAACAAAGATATGTGAACAAAATACAAGCTCTGGCCATTTGCAATCCATATTATATGCACCCGCCGCAATATTTCAATCACTAAACAGCGTGACAAAACATTGTGAAATACACTTAAAGTGCCTTAATGTATGTAAAACAGATATTAAAGGGGTCCTATTATGCTCTTTTACAAAGTCTTGATTTTGTTTTGGGGGTGTACTAGAACAGGCTCTCATACTAGGTTGTTCGAAAAACACATAATTTTTCACATATTTTACATTATTACAACACTTCTCTCCCTAGTCTGGCATGAACGGCTCGAATAGTTCCTGTAAAAGAACAAATTCAGTACACACGTGATTGATTATGCTTACTTTATATAGGCAAGCAGATGAGCCCAGAATGTGAACGTAATGCGCTAAATGGTTCCGTGTTTTTTTTTATAATGGTTTTCTATGGGAAACCATTTAATGTGAAACTTTGCGTGTTACGTTTATATTCTGGGTTCATCTGCTTGCCTGTATGAAGTATGCATCATCAGTAAGGTGTATACTTAATTTCGCCTTTTAATATCAGCGTTTTACTACATTACTACTTAATGCAAACCGTGTAAAAATAACTGCCGGTCAGTGGAGCAAAGCCTCGTTTTGCCCTCCAGGTGGGCGTTCCTATAAGGGTGTGACATCACGTGAAAACAATCAAGTGATAGTGACAGGAAGTGAAGTGGGAGAGAGAGTGGGGGATCAGGAAAGGTCTGTGAGGCCACGATGCTATCTGCGCCAACAGATCACACTTTTTTTGATGGTTGTTTGTGAGATAATACTGATGAAAGGCTAGAAGCAACCCTGCTCCTTGGCATAAAAACGTTTTAAAATCCCTGTTCTGAAACCATATAATAGCTTTGAGAGAGGAACAGACCCACATTCAAGTTATTCACAGCATTGATTCTTTGTTAATTGTACAATCTTATGATGCTTTTACGGTGCGTTTGTGTTCTTTTAGAAAACTCTAGTCCCATAGTATTTGCAGAGAAAAGCACAAATTTCCTCCTTTTGTGCTTCACAGAAGAAATCCAAACCGGTTTACAAAGACATAGAGGAACATGATTGAAAAATCAACATCTGTTCAATTAATAGTTAAAAGTTTCAGATCTAGCTGTAGGATTCTGTGAGGCTGACAGTGTCTGGCCTCATTGGGTTTGGCTATGGAACAGAAGCTTATGTCATGCTCGGTCTGTAGCTCCTCTAAAAAGAGAAAAACAGGATACGTGGGGGCACTTCCTCCTTTATCGCTCTCTCTTAACACCCGCCATCTCTCTGGGGTCAGACAGCACTCTTCCACACTCGCACGGGCTGCAGAGACCGACCTGACCGCTCCACACATCAAAGAGCCTGATTCCAGATATCCATCAGCAACCACACCCCCTGCGTCCGCTTCATGTATCTCGGAGGCAAACTTGACCTTGTGTGTTTGTGTTGTGAGCGGTAACTGATTCTAATCCCAAGGTGGTTTTGTGCCCAGCTGGCTTATGTCATACCCACTATATCCGCATGACCTCACGCCTGGAGGAAACTACAGTCGCACAGACACTATGATAAGGCCGCTGTCATCACAACAGTTGTGTTGTGGTCATGCTGATGTACGTTTTTAAGAGTCAGAAAAGACAACAGTCCCCCTATAAACAGAAAAACTTTCTCATCAAGGGTGTGTTTTGTGATACAAGGCATTTTAAAGCGGCGTAGTCAGTGCAACCAAAAATGGACAGATGAGTCTTTATTTTTGGCTTTGTCTGTTGTGATATTTCAGCAGGAGTGTTTTAAGTGGTGTTAAGTTTTCTGCCATTTAAAGGCATGGAGCCGAGAGCTCCTGAGGCCTTGTGGGGGACCTCACAGTTTGACAGCTGGTTCCTGCAAGACATTGTCGACCATATAACCACAGACTACATGACTGTGGCTTCACTGGGCCTGAGACACGTGGTGGCCAAACAAACAAAAACACATTTCTATACAAACACAGGGTTTTTTTTTTGTTTTAAATATGCTCGGCCATATTTTTTCAAGTATAGGTGCACACAACCACACATAATCAAATTATATTCACATAAAAGCACACATACTCACGTTCACGAACTTTGGTGAGTGTCGCCATGCTAAACCAAACCCTCAGAGGCAGAGAAGTTAAAGAGATGGGCACTTCTGAGGTTTGAGCGCTTTAAAAAGACATGACCGAGCACCACCATAATTACAAGGGCCATAATTTATATGGCCCAGAACATGTAGAGGCAAAAACCAAAGCAGAAAAAAACTAACTTTGCATTTAATTCAGTCTTTTTGTTTTAAATTTTTAAAAATTTTAATGTAAATTTTATCATTTGAAACGGTTGATAACTGTTATTATTGTCTGTATATTTAAGTGTAAAGTGAATCTAACATCCACCTTCATGACTCAAAACTATGACATCTGAAGTATTTATTCCTGATATTAATGTTTTTCCAAACAGGAATTTGACAATAATTCCAATGGAATGTTGATTAACATCGCAGCATGACTCTTCACATCCTTATCTAACCGGAAATGTTTCCTAGCTTACCTCTTCCTCCTACTCACTTCTTCCTCTACTCCTCCTCTTCCTCTCTGCTTCCAGTGTGGTCTGAGATGTCCACCCACTGATATCAAGACAGACGCACTCAAGTATATGAGCGACTCATTTAACCTGTTCATACTGCAGAATCATTGTTCGAGAACCACTTTACTATGAACTCATCATTAGTTGACATTATTTTCAATAGATGGTCTTTAGAAGAATTTTCAGTTCTAAAACCAAACAGTAGGTTTACACAGTACATATTGATTTTTATTATTTAAAAAAAAAATTTTATTCATTATCTTTAATTATATATTTTTCCCAGTCACACTTTCTAATAATTCTGACATTCACTATGAAATAGGAATATTGTTGGGTCTGTGACATATTGTTTATTTTTATCTACACTGTAAAATGTGGTGACTTGCAATTCTGCCGTGCAAAGGCAAAATACCGTAACTTTGATTTTTGTCGAAAATGAGTTATTGATATTTTTGGGACATTCAAGACATCCTTTATCATGTGTATAAGTATCTTGAGTCAATTTCGTTGTTTTTCCGAGAAAATAATGGGTCGTCTCAACCGTAACTTCGAAAAGCCCCGGAGAAACCAAGGCAGAACACCGTATAACACCAGTTACTGCTCTTTTACTTTGTTTGGAACGCTCAAATTGAGTTACGGCGTTCTGACTTTGTTTAGCCGCGCGTCAATATGAAGTTACGGTGCCGGCTTGAAGTTATACGGTGTTCTGCCTTTGTTTTACTGTCCATTAAAGTCTGCCGCATTTTAATTACGGTGTAGACAAACGAATTAGATAGATCGCGATCAACCAAACTGTAAAGACTAGATACCTTGGCAGCAATATGTAATCGTGAATAACCTTTACAGATTTTTCTTTTCTTTTTGTAATGTAGATTATCTGTCACTTCTAGCTGGACGCGTGTGGACTCGAATGCCGTAGCTAACATGATCAATCATAAAATCAGTCGTCTACTAACAGTTCGCAATTAAATCCATATCCTACCGTTTCTTGTAACCTGATAAAATCAATCCATGGCGATGAACGTCATCGGAGATGTTTAATCCACAAACATTCTGAGAATTATTCCTGCTTGCTGGCGTTCACATCAATCCACAAGTCGTTCTTTTAGGTTAGGCTATTTAATACAAGTCAATATAAAAGCAATTATGCTATGTCTAGCATTATTGTTACTGAGCATAGCAAATAAATTGGTATCCACGGTATCCACTCACATGTTTAACTTTTAGTCTGCTTGTTACGGTAAAAAAAAAAAACATTAATACAGTCACATTACTATTGCCTATGCAATAGCCTACAGGCCTATGAGATAGCCCATGATCACTAGATTTTATACAGGTGTTACTATAACGATTTTGTAAATGGTGATCAGCAACCAAATATTGATAATGTGGAAGTTACTGCCTTTTGCCTTGGTGTGACTTCTCACGTTTTGCAGACAATGCAAAGGCAGAGTACATTAACTTCAAAATAGGGGTAAAAATCAAGTTTGAGCTCACAATTTTTTAATGTAGATAATTTTCATTACTAAAACATCTAATTGTTAAATTTCCAGTGTCCTACCTATAATTAATTTGGCTGGACAAATAAAAAACTTTAAAGTCATTTTTCTCAGTTTCACACTACCGAGTTAAGGTCTTTTGCCTTTGTAGGGCAGGATTGTTACCTTAAAGACCCTAGTAAAAAAGTAATATATTTAAAATACATTTATTTCATACTAAGTATAGTTCAAATCTATTAACATATTAACTGACATATCGCTCAAGACTTACTGATATCAACATTTTAAGTAAACTTTATTTGGAGTACTACTTGTGCACAATACACATTTCTTAATATTAAGCCTAAAATGTGTTTTAATGTCACTATTGATAAGGATTGTGTGATCTTTGAATAATATCAGTCTTTAAATGCAAGATATTTAAAGTGTACCTAAAGTCTACTTGCAATAGTTCCACTTTAGCATAATCAAATATACAGTACTTCAGTATATATTTAGTTGGACCTCAGCACTACTTCTGCGCAATTACAGTGCTTTTAGTACAAAATTAGTTTAATTTAGCAAACTTTAAGTATACCAGTTTAGTATTCTAAAAGTACAATTGCAGGGTCTTTTTAATAAGTACATAGATATGTAAACTAATTTGTAGTATGGTTAGCATGAAATAAATGTATTTTAGTATACTTATTTGTGCTATTTCTACCTGATTTAACCCATAACAATTAGGTTTGCTGGTATAAATGAATTGATATATTTTGGTTCAGTGATGTAAAATAATATTTTTGACTTAAACCAGTTAATTAAGATGTCGCCATTTTTAGGTCACCTTTTGTATTCAATGTATATTGTAAGTCGCTTTGGATAAAAGTGTCTGCTAAATGGATAAATGTAAATATTATTATTTCACATATAAACCCTCACCTCAAATTCATGCTAAATTTACTGTGCAATTTACAAAAGGTTTATTTGTTAGTTCTTCATCAACTGTCCTTAATCAAAACACCATGAGCTCCAAAGTGTTGTAAGTTTTAGTGTTAAGATATGTGAGCAATTTTAAATCTAAAGGGCATGAGAAACTAATTATGACAGTCTGAGATTTTAAGTTCTGTAAACAGCTTTTGTTTAAGAAAGAGGCTTTGAGAGGAATTACAAGGATGTTTTTCAGTTTTTGTTTCTTCCCAAAGGGACAGATGAGGTTACCCTCTTAATTTGTGACACGGCCAAACATGACATCATGACCGTTCCTTCAACTTGATTTATCTTCCTTGTTTTTCAATACTCACAGCATAAACAAGTGGACACTATTCTTCCATTGCATGCATAAAAGGAAAACGGGATACTCAAAAAATCTAGGCTCTTATAATCTTCTTCTTATTGCACTTGGGACTGTGACCCAGTTTAGGTAATTGCTCTCTGAAACTTCTGTCACAATGATTGTTGCCGAAGACTGATAGGAAGAAGACTGAGTTCAATTTTAGCTCCAGCTGTGCCGGCACATCAATCACAATTTCATGAATGATTGGCCAGTAGCTTAGACTATGGGACAAAGATGAGCTGCGTTTCCTCTGTCAGTTCAACAAAGTGTACAGTATGTCATCCACAGAGAGGAAATGCTGAACAAATGTGTATGTGTGTAAAGAAGCAGCCAAGTCAATCGTCACAAGCCCACATGAGCGTACTTGAACTCCACGTGCACGTATGCATGCCTATATACACAGCTCTCTTAAAATGGGGGGTCTCTAGTGTGACGCCCCCCTCCCCTGCTGGCTAAATCGATTGCAGATTTCCATGAGCGCAGAGCTGGCTTGTGTATGTGCGTGTGAGGCCCTCAGGAGTCTGGGCGTACAGTCAGAACACATGCGAGAGAAAGAAAGGAGGAGAAAAAGAGTGCCGCGGTCCCAATAGGACCCAAAGGAACATCACTCCATGCAGGCTGGAGACCCAGAATCACAGCTGTGGAGTCAGCTGAGTGAGGGACATTTTCCTGAAAGAACTTCTGTCAGCACCATCAAAGTAACAACTGTGGAATCGTGCAGTGAAATAATAGAAATATGAGCTCAAATCCAAAATTTTAGAAGTGACATCAAACATCAAAACGTGAAATTTACAATAGACAACATGAGTTTAAGTGATTATTTGTTCAGACGGGGTTCCCAAAAACCTCTGACCAATGAATTTCCATCCCTTTTCCAATCATTCTTAAAAATTTGTAAACAAATAATTTTATAGAGATTATATATATATATATATATATATATATATATACAGGGTACGGAAAGTATTCAGGACCAGCTCCTATAACCAGCTCAGGACCAGCTTAAACCAGCTCAAACCAGCTGCCATGCTTCAAAACATACCTAACCAGCATACACTGTTTTTTTTTCAACAGGGATATTTAGAGACTATCACTCTTAAAAATAAAAGTGCTTAAAAGTTTCTATTCAGCGATGCCATAGAAGAACCATTTTTGGTTCCTCAAAGAACAATTAAGTCAAAGGTTCTTTAAAGAACCGTATCTTTCTTACCTTTTTATAATCTGAAGAACCTTTTTTCGCCACAAAGAACCTTTTGTGAAACAGAAAGGTTCTTCAGTTGTTAAAGGTTCTTTATGGAACCATTTAGACAAAAAAGTTTATTCTATGGCATTGTGAAGCACCTTTATTTTTAAGAGTAAAACTTCAGCTTTAACCATTTTAAAAATTCCCTGATATTTCCAGATTTTTCATGACTCTGGTTTGAGATCTGGCATAAAAATTGTACACTGAATTTATTTATACATATATATATATATATACACATTTTTCAGCACTTTGACACTTTGCTTGTATGATACATTTATATTTAGAAAATCTGGATTTTTTTCAGATCTAAAAATTACTAAAATCAATTTCCATACTTTTCCACACTGCATAGCAACCCTGCTCCAATACAGGCCTAGATAGATTAATAAATATAATTTAAAAAATAGCAGTGATACACTGTAAAAAATGACCGTGAATTTAACGGTAAAAGACTGTAAAAATGCTACAGTATGGTCAATCTAACAATATAATCAATTTAGTCTTTTAGACGAAACAAGCAGTCCACACAGAGTAAACTCTTTTGCTTCACTATTCAGGGACAAGTTTATTTAATTATGTACAATATATTTCATTCATTTAATTACAATTAGCTATGTTGACAGCTGCTCAGACAGTCCTCATCATCTCCACGCGAGAGGCATCATATATCACCAGTATCACTGAAGTTTGAGTATCACCATTTCATTTCGCTTTGGTTTAGTTAATGAACTGCCACAAGACTGAAGTGAGATAACATCCTTCAATCCCCCCCCGAATATGGTCTAAATCAACATGCTGTTGGCTGGCAAATTTATTTGCAAACACTAATATGGACTCAAGCTCAGTCTGTGCAGTTACAGTTTTTTTAATTGGTTTGGTACTATTTTCACAAGTAAGGTGTAGATTTTCAAAACTTTAAACGGATCACACTTGTAACACGACTAGCCATTCTTTCAAAACCTGATCTCATGATTTCATTGTAGTTGTGCATATTTTCATTTCACATAATCATTGTTTAAAAACACAAGATCATTGTGATATGTATTGAGAACATTTGAATTAATCACAGTATGAAATTAATAAACACTATGATCTTCTTTCAATTTAGTACTTTTAACAATCAGTTCATTCAAGAGCAAACAATGCAAGATTCATGTTTCAAATCACCTTTGTTGCTGAAATAATTGCAGTAATACAGGCAATAATGGTCATGTTAGAAAATACACTTATATTACCTAACTTGCATATCTCACATAAAATCAATAATGTTTATCTATGGAGATAGAATTGTTGCTTAATTCCAAATAAATAGATTATGATCCACAAATA